AGAGGATGTCTAAATGGGAACAAATGGTGCATACAAAAAAGTTCAGGCACAGGATACCCATTCGTATTTGCTTTAACATGAGCTTAGAATCCAGAATGTTCAGGTCGATGTTGTCATATTTGCCTGCGGAAAATTTCATAAAGATTATAGACTTCTAGGTTATTGAATACCTAAATTTACTTGGTACTTTTTGGAAACAGCCACTCCTGCCAACAGTAATCTTGCTTTTTCATCCCTATCGTGAGGTTTTTTTTAAAAATAATTACTCTCATCTCTACTGTTGCACCACCTCTGGGTTTCCAATTTCCGAAGTTTCCGAAGGATTTAAACGAAAAGATTAAAATGAAGTTCAATAGTGTGCCTCCTTGAGCAAGAGCTGCATATCACCTTACCACCAGTTGTCTAACCGATCATCGACTGCCTCGATAGAGAGACAGTAACCACTCCATTCGTCCCCATCGCGAGCTAGAGTAGTCCAGTGGATCGTCACCGCTCTAGGCATAGCATCCTTTTCTTCAAAGCTCTCATGAAGAAGTCTGATCATGTCGTCCTAGCCTTTTGATTCAGTCAGTAACCACCCTAGTCCCACGGTCATCACAAATCGCATAGGATGGCCGGCCCACCTGATCTTCGGTTACTTGGAACAAACAATGGCTTCTTTGGATTTTGATGATTTCGATACAAACTGATTAGAAGCTGCATATACTTTCAGTTATTGGAGAGTTACCATCACAGAAACTATCATCAATGTGTAGGAGCATGCATTAGTGAAATATTCCGTTCTCGCCGGTCATGACATCAAGAAATACCTCACAGAAGCACGAGGAAATCGAAGCTGGTGATGCTATGGTCGCGGAAGATCCACCAAGAAACATTGATGGATTAGGAGCTATTATTAGCTGAGGTCAGTTCTGAAGGTCACTTATGAATCAACTCACTTTATAGCTGAATGATAAGACATGTCGACTCGATCCTGTTCTACTCAAATGTTGATAGCATTTGTTATGCTCAGCATAACGCGTTATCAGTAGAGTACTAGTCATCTACTCGTTAGATACGGTAACTGGTAAACAGCAGCTCACCAGCATATGGTCTAGCATGTGGCAGGAGTGTGATAAGCGCGTTCAGAATAGACCATGCTCATAATAAGCTACTAATAGTTTGCTAACACATTTTAAAATCACTTAGATGCTGTTCAATATATTAAAATGAAATGTTGACGATAAAAAGCTGACATAATTGAAGATACGCATGTGTTATGACCATGATATGTGACATAAGCAATGTAATCTCGATAAAAGCACCATTTTACAAGTTTTGCAGGTTCACTTGATATTGAGCTTCACATTGAAAGCCAAAGCCTGCATTAAAAGTTTATTGTACAGTTACTATACAACTTATTCAAAGTATTCATAAAATGTAGTAGCTGCTTTTGAACCTACATATTATGCTCATCAATAGGTTATACAAAGTGTTGCGCACCGCCAAACAAAAAATTATCATGAAAAAATCAGTTGCGAGCATTAAAGCGTACATACTTTCATTTATACAATGTTAAGCACGACCATCTGATAGATTGTACCTACAGCTGGTGATTCCATTATACTTTAGCTCGATCTCATTAAATGGGATGTACTATTTCGCTGATTTCGAAAACGAAGGCTGACAACGCGGAGAGACTAACTTCTTGTAGAACTCTACGATAATTTACGATACGACACGAACTTTTGTCAAGCTCGTTCACTGTAAAGCTTTATAGC